AATTACCTTGTAAATATTTAGTTTAAGTATTAACTTCTTCCATACTTTTAAGAAAGGGTAATTAGCATAACGTCCTTACTTTTTATTATTATTGTGAAAACGTCCTTACATTTCGTTTTTTTTTTTTTTTTACATTTTCACCCTTATTTTCAAATTTTATTGCGCAAAAGGTCATTTTCATCCATTTTCTCAATTTGAAAGTTGTCAATCGACGAATATACTATTCTTCTTAAAAAAAAAAGATATGAATGTTTTTCACAATAATAATGAAAGATAGAGACAATATATGTTAATTACCCTTTAATAATTTTTTTGGGATTCGTTTGCACTTTTTAAAAACATTTGAGGACTATGTTTGCAATTAGTTTTTTTTTTCTTTTTGTTTATTTAAATAGAAAGATATATTTGTCATTTCACAATTTTTAATTAAGAAAACTGATAAAAAAGACCTTTTGCGCAACGGAGAGTGAAAATAAGGATGAAAATGTCAAAAAAATGAAAGGTGAGAATATTTTCCACAATAATAATGACAGGTAAGAACGTTATTTATTAATTACCCTTTAAGAAACATGGTATCACTCTTTTACTTAAAAAAAGTTATATTCGCCCATAAATAAGAGAAAAAGACAATCGCAATTGAAAAAGAAATTTAATTGAGATAAACGTGAGTTGAGAATCAATTAATAAGTTCTCCTATAGTCATGTCTTCGATTAGGTAAGAAATCAAAGTTGAGTTGATGGAAATGGAAAACATATAGGACAACTTATTAATTGATTCTCAACTCATGTTTAAAAAAATTAAATTTTATCAAAATCAAACAGGGACTTAAGTCACTTTACGTCACGAATGGAAATATCAACCATGCTACATTGTCTGAAAAGATTATCATTTGACATTCTATCATTGGATTGTTTAAAAATAATTAATTTTTACATTCAATCATTTCTTTCCATCAATACATCTGTCAACTAAAATGTCAATATTTTTTTAGCAAAGCAGCTTCATTCTGGAAATATTGCTTGAGGCTGGCTATTGATGTTGACATTTAGCCCTTGTTTGGTTTGGATTAAAATCCAATTAAAATATCAAGTCAAAGCCAACAATTAATTTTGACTACACATTTTATGGGACCCACAATTTTTCGAACCGCGCATTTCATCAACTTTTATAAAAATATATTGAAAATCTAATTTTAATCTCTACCAAACAAGAGTTTA